CCCTTAAAGACCTGCCGTTTTGACCTGCTACAGTCAGGCCCATATCCTTGGCCCATATCCTTGTAAACCTTTCCTATCCACGTATTCGCCCGAAAGCCTTTTAAATGTTGTCGTTGTACCTGCCTCAACCACTTCCACTTTCGTTGGCAGCTCAGACCCTGTGCATATCACCCTCTGTTTCAAAAAAAAAGTTGCCCCTCTGGTTCCCATTTATTCTTTCCCCTCTTACCCTAAACTGATGCCCTGAAGTCCTCCATTTCTGCAATACTTGGAAAAAGAATGAGTGCATTCACCCTATCCATGCCTCTCATGACCTTATACACTTCCATAAGATCCACAACCCCCCCAACACCACCCCCATCTCCTACACTCTAAAGAAAAAAGTCCTAGCTTGTCCAACCCCTCCCAATAAATCAGTCCCTTGAATCCCGGCAAAATCCTTGTAAATTTCTCCTGCACTTTTTTTTTTTTTCCAGTTTAATAACATCCTTCAAATAACAAGGTGACCAAAACTGAGCACAATACTCCAAGTGCGGCCTCACCAGTGTCCTGTGCTACTGCCCATTTGGTGTAGGTACTCCACCGCAATGCTGTTATAGACCGAGTTGCACTGAAGGAACAGTGATATAATGTCAAGTCACGTCGCTGAGAGGAACTTACTACTAAATTATTAAATTTTGAGGCTATTAAACTAAGCCACCTTGAAAGTTTTAGCAGATCATATTAGGACTCCTGTACGTCACATACTAGGGGATTCCTCTGTGTCATTGCTTGTGGTGGGTCAGAGGATGTATCAAATAAAATGCTTTAAGGAAGTGTGTGAAATACGCAAAGTTTTCCCTATATTAATAGATGCACTGCGGCATCCTGATCTGTGTTTTCGGCCAGTTGTGTTGGTTTAGATTTCTGCTACGTCTGGTGCAGTTTTACGCTGGGTTTACCCCTCAATAAGGGGTGTGATGAAGGTAGTTCTTGTATCTGTAACAACGAAATAACAATGAGGCCGTGCAGGAAGAAAACATGTTGGTTCCTGCTGTAGCTGCCATCAGGAAATGAATGTGAAAGGGTTTTTTGACTCCTTCAGTAACATTCCTGCCACCCTCTTTAATTTCCCCTGCTGGTTGGCACTGAGCCATCTTCGATAGCTAGCACATTGCAATTGTAATGATTGACAGAGCAACCAGTTACAAGGTGAAAGCATTAGTAACCGACCAGCAACTCTTAGCTTAGCGGGAGCTCTAGTACTTCTGAATCCAGAATTGTTCAAGTTCCAATCCAGACTATAGGTTGTTGCTTTAGCGCAAGACTGAGCAATGAGGTACTGTCTTTGGGAGGAGATGTTAAACAAAGGCCCCTGCTGCTGTTTTAAGTGAATGTAGAAGTTGCATGTCACTGAGAAGAGCGGAGGTGGTGTCCTGGCCAATATTTATCCTTCAACTAACATCACTACAACTTAAGATTATCCGGTCATTATGCCACTGCTGCTCGTTGGACCATGCTGTGCGCAAATTAGCTGTTTCCCGAAAATGCAACAGTGAGGACATGTCAAAGTGCTTCACTTGAGTGTAAAGTGCCTTGCGGGCATCCTGGGGAATGAAAGGCACAATAGAACTTCAAGTTATTCTTTCTCTTTTTTTTTTCCCCCTCAGCTAATCAGTTCAGATGCTGAAAGCTACTACTTTCCCAAAGGTCACAAACTGCTGCTGATTTTCAGTGAAATGGGTTGAGTCTCTAGAGAGCAAACTTAAAACTACGTCAGTGTTTCTCCGAACTGCGCAGTTTTTAAAAAAAAAATTTCCTTTAGTTCTAAAAAAAGCACCAGAGAATAGAAAAGTTCTGCTCAAAGTGTGAAAGAAAACAGAAATAATTAGCGCTCTTGACATTTTTACAGCTTTTAAATGTTTTATTTTTGATGCACTCCTGTGATGTTTGTGCTGTATTTTAATGTCAACCCTTTCACTATGATCTCCCCCAAATGTTGGTTTGTTCAGCCGTGTATATCAAATGTGACCAAGTGGGAAGCACTTGAACCTCTGAGTCAGAAGGTTACACATCAGCTATAATTCCCAAGGCAGGAGTTGTGAAAAACGGGCTGGTGTTCCAGTCCAGATCTGAGGGAGCGGCAGAGTGTGCAAGATTTCTTCTTTTTGAATGAGGCATTGAAACAAGCCCTTGTATCCTATCTCAATGTGGACATAAAAGAAGCCATTAGAATTGTTTGTGAATAGAGCTGGCTGATTTATCCCTGGTTCCCCCATCAATATTCATCCTTCAGATCACAAAGACAGATCATCTGGACATTATTACATTTCTACTTCTGGGAGTGTGAGAATTGGTTTACTACGACAGAATTTCATTTTGGAAGCATTTTGTTACCTGTAAAGTACAAGTGACATTGACAGGTTGGTAGAGTGGGTAGATAGGTGGCAGAGAAATGTAAGGAGATTTGTATTTTGATTACAAGACCATTGTTAGACAATAGAAAACAGGGGATACAATTCTAGAGGGGATGCAGGAATAGAGGGACCTGTGTCTATATGTTCACGGATCATTGAAAGGTGGCCGGACCTGTAGAGAGCAGTTAAAACAGACAGTACTCACAATTTTATTAATAGGAGCATGAGGTAATAGGAGCAAGGTGATGGTGAATTTGTACAAGATACTCGATAGGCTTCTTCAGCTGGAGTATTGTGTATGCTTGTTCCACATTGTAAGAAAGATGGGAATGCATTGGACAGAATGCAGAAGCAGTTTACAAGAATGGTTCCAGGAATGAGAGACTTCAGTGATAAGGATGGATTGAAGAAGTTGGAACTCTTATTTTTTCCTTGGAGAGAAGAAAGGTGAGGAGATTTGATCTAGGTTGTCAAAAGTCATGAGTGGACTTGATAGAGTAGATAGCGAGATGACGTTCTTGCTCGTAACAGAAACAATTTAAAGTAATGTGCAAATGAAACTAGGGTGATATGAGAAAAGACTTTTCACGTAGCGCATTCGTGCTGCTATCTGGAGATATGGGGCAGGCAGGTCCAAAGATTAATTGGATAGAAATGGTGAGCAGGGATGTCGGGTAAAATGCAGGATATTGGCACTTGGTAAAAGAATCAGTGCGGGTCCATAGGCCAAATGGTTCCTTTTTGCACCTTAACAATTTGGTGATTCTTTTTGAAGTGCTTTCTGATAGATGGCAGTTGTGATAGGTGCTGTATAAGTGCAAGCCTTTTGACTTGGAGGCCAAGACCTGTCAGTGTGAATGTGTAGCTTGTTGCCCTGTTGACTAAGTTACTGTCTGCTTGTGTTTTCTTTTAAATAGCTGGGTCATTTTTTATAGTGTGGGAAATGGTTTTTGAAATTAATTGTTCGTTTGGGAGTATCTTGTCTCCATGACTAATGAACATGAGGTTTAAACACTTCATTGTACAAAATGAGTTGATGCTTTTTATTGAAACTGAGTTGCTAAATTTCCCTACCTAAATTTGATTTTCATCAGTCCTAAAAAATGTAGTGCACTGCAATCATGTTCTTTTTTTAAAAAAATGTATTGAAACAACAAATTAAATTAAAACCAGACTGAAAACAAATTTGCATTCATAAAGTACCTTTCATGATCCCAGGATATCCCTGAAACACCTTTGAAAGGACTGTGACTGTTGGAATATCTGAAATACAACGGCCAATTTGTGCGCAAAAAGCTCCTTAAGAAAACATCATTGAGCTGATAAACAGCTAATCTGCGTAGGCTTTTATTCCCACTTCCCCTGGTCTGTCGGGTTTGTTCTGGATATAACTAAACCAAGGCAGTTCTAACAACTCCATTTCCCAAAGTGTATGACAAAAAAATGCCTATGCGTTGCTTGCAATCCAAGTCAACCCTTTCATGTGAACCCTTTGCCTGCAAATCAGGCTGGAACTGATGATTGACCTGATCCATCCCAACTTCTCGTCATTGTAGAGACAGTAAGAACTACCGATGCTGGAGTCAGAGATAACACAGTGTGGAGCTTGAGGAGCACAGCAGGCCAGGCAGCATCAGAGGAGCAGGAAAGTTGACGTTTTGGGTCGGGACCTGAAATATCAACTTTCTTGCTCCTCTGATGCTGCCTGGCCTGCTGTGTTCCTCCAGCTCTACACTCTATTATTTTATATTCTCCTCATTGTAGCTATCTTAGGGAGGTCAGTTAATCAATGAAGTGAGCTACTTTATTTTCTTTCCATTCAAAGAAGCTGCACAGGACGTTCAAAGTCTTGGCACAATCCAGCCTCCAGCAAATGACCAGCTTGACAAATGGCAAACCATCACAAATATGTCAAGTTTTCCACATTGGTTTTATCACTAAATTCATTAAGACTTGCTGGTGACTCCTTGGAAAGAAGCTTCTCTTGCCTTTATTGGACCGTGACATTAAACTTTGGCTTGTGCTGACTGTTCACTATTTGTATGCCATCCAGTCAAACGTATGATTTTACACCACTTAATTGTGACGATCTCCAATTCAGCCGTATCATTACGTCTGATGCACTGCCTGCTTTAAACCAAACCTCAGCTTTTCCACAGTTAGTGTGACAGTTCACTCCATTACAGAGTTACAAGGTTTGATGTGAACACAAACACACCCATTGCTTCAACCTGACGCAAACACTTTTTAAAAAACCCGTTATCCTACTACTCATTACGTCATCAAGCTTCATATGTTTTCTTCTTTGCGTTTCATTCTCATTTAATCTCCTCTTGGCTAACCCAACATGCTGCAGGTCAATTTCCACACCCATTTTATTGATGGCAGTTAAAGGATAAATATAGGCCTAGGGCACAGATAAAAGATCATTGAGGGGATCGTGTGGTTTGGGCTAGATGAACTGAAGAATCAACTCCAACTGTCATTGTTCATTTGGCTAGTGCATCAGGCAAGTCATTGCCCACTCGTTAGGAATGAAGTGTGCTCTGGCACTATGTTTGTACATCAGCAGTGGTACTGACATTTTGCAAACTGTCTCCACAGCATGCTTCGGACCTGGAAAAGAAACAAAACGAATCCGAAAACCGGAAGCTGCTCGGAACGATTATTCAATATGGCAATGTTATTCAGGCAAGTGTGATACAGTAAAATAATGTCACCACCAATCTCTGGTTGGTAAAGTTACACTGTTTTCTCGATGCTATTCTTAAAATGCCTAAGTTTTTGCCAACGTCTATACACTTGATCGCTGTGTTGATGGTAGTAGATGAAAGTGAGCAATGTTTTTGGGGATATGAAAGAAAACACTAGGAATAAACAGAAGGCCTCCCCTTCTATCTGAAAGGGGAGAGTAGAATATACCTGAAACATCATTTCATCAGAGTCTAGAAGTATCACGTACAAATTATTGGCACACAGCGTAGAACTGGTGTGCCTTTTTAATAAAGGTGTTTGATCAATACAAAAATTGCCACTACAACTGTTGAGTGGTGATTTCCCTTTTGTATCAGTGTGTACTTGCTAAAAGAGACTGACCTGCAACTCTGCAGCGAAGCAAGATTCCCACGGGGAGTTAGGTGGGAGTCCTGACCCTGGTTTTACACCATAGTGGAACCACCAAGTGTGACCTTGGAACACCTAGTGCTACATTGAATTATAAATGCAGCTGGGAAACTAAAATTAGCTTAATGTGGAATCCTTGGTCAGAAACCTTGGGTATTGCCTAAACATGGAATTCACCAGTTGTAAAATCTCTCTGCTCCAGGCCTTTATCCCATGTCCAACCCTCCCTCCCATCCCCACCTCCTTGACCTGACACAACCTGTCCATCTTCTCTCTCACTTATTCACCCCACCACCCTGCTACTTGCACTCCCCTATCACCATCCCAGTCTATCACACAAACCAACCTTCCATCCATTGACCCCATCCGTGCTTCCTGCTGCCTCTGGAAAGCAACCAATAGGATCACAGACTCCTCCCACCCTGGTTATACGCGTTTCCACCCTGCTCCATCAGGGAGAAGATATAAAAGTTTGATTACACGTACAAGTAGATACAAGAGTAGCTTCTTCCCCGCCATTATCAGACGTTTGAATGGACCTGTCAAATGTTAACGTTGCTGTCACTCTGCACCTTCTCTGCAGCTGTAGCCCTGTTTTCTGTACTCTGTTCAGCTACACTTTGTACGATAGTATGATCTTCTTTGTAGACCACGCAAAACAACACTTTGTCTCAGTACATGTGACAGCAATCGATTAATCAGTGAATCAAAGGGAAACAGAGGGGTCAGAAGATCCATTTGATTCAGTGGTGAAAATGCCCTGCAATGCAAGTAGAAAATTAAAATAATAAAGAATGGGCCATTAAAATTGCAAATCATCATGGAGCTTGCACAAATAGCCGAGGTGCAGTTCGTGACAATTAAAATGCATTTTCCTGTGTTTGTAGAAAATGAATAGAATAGGGTAACTCCTGAGCTTTAAAATGTGTAATGTTAAAGCACATAAAAGAAAATAGCTCCAAGTTTGACTTCTTACTTGCTGACAGTAATTTATTAGATGTTTTCCATGTCAGCTTGTTCAGAGATGTTATTACATCGCTCTGGATCTCGAACTGAGACCTACTTCAGAGGTAGTGACACCATCACTGCACCATAGGAGCCCTGCCTCTCAGTACTTCTGATATTTTTAATCAGCCTGCTCAGACATGTTATGGTACAGCTCTGGAGCAGGTGAAACTTGAACCCAGCCCACCTGGCTTAGGGGTGGGGACACAACAGCCCTGTCCCCTTCAGTACTTGATTTCTCCACACCAATCACCTTGCGTTAATGTGATAATTACCAAGTATCCTGAGTAAGCTGACCTCCTGAAAACATCAATTCCATCCATACAGGAAGAAATTTTACTGCTGTTTCTGTGGTCAGTGTGCTCCCTACTGTTCAGATCAATCAGAGAGAAGTGGTTTTGTTTGTCCTGTCATTTTGATGGAGTGCCACATTTGGCAAAACAAAGCAGTGCCTGGGCTTGTGCCAAGTGCAAAAGCTGCAACTGTTTCTTGTGGCTTTATCTGTGACCCTCTATATTGAAGGATGAATAGGCCACTCAACCCCTCAAACTTGCGGTGCTATTCTGTCAGATTATGGCTTATCTGTACCTCAACTCTAATTATCCCATTCACCTTTCTGATCAGCATTCTTGATATCCTTACCCTCCTTCAATAAAATCTGTCCACCTCAGTCTTAGAAGTTCCAATGATCCAAGTATCATTAGCCTTCAACTAAGTCTGTACACGCCAAATACTGGTGTTGATTTCTATGGATGCCCACTGGTCTTCAGCATTTGCAAACAGTAGTTTCCCAATCACGTTTGCTTCCAATAGTGCTGTGAGCTAGAGTTTTAATACTTTAGTGATTGCTATTTATTCTAATTCAGCCCTGGTGACGGACAGTGAAGCATTAAATGTGATTGCCATGGGGATGTGCAATTGGTTTGAAAGACGCGGAGTTTGAGAAGGTGAACTTTGTGCCCCTTAAAGTGTGTATTAATTTGGAGCTGTATTATCTTACAAAGTTGTGCATTTATATAGTTTGTTTGTAATGCGGATATATGTCTGTACGTCGGGATACGCGTGCGCATGGTTCAATAACATAATCTTGTGACTTTTGTAGTTGTTGCATCTGAAAAGCAATAAATACCTGACTGTGAACAAGAGATTGCCAGCCCTATTAGAGAAGAATGCTATGAGGGTTACTCTGGATGCTGCTGGCAACGAAGGCTCCTGGTTTTACATCCAACCATTCTACAAACTGCGGTCCATAGGCGACAGTGTAAGTGAAGTGAGATCAATGTTACTTGGCATGAAATGGAGAACGGTGTTGGGTTAAACCACTAAAGAATAGGATAACATAAACAACAAAAACTGACATTTATGTATGTCACATATTGCTACTTTTAACATAACGAAACATCCTAAAGCACTTCTCACAGGAGCATTGCAAACCGAGGTTTGATACTGAGCCACATGAGATTTTAAATCAAGGTGTAAAAGTAGCAAAAGAGGTTTAGGAAGGGAATTCCAAAGTCTGCAGCTGAGGAAACTGAAGTCATGACTGCGGTGCCGGGACAGTTAAAATTGGGAACTTACAAGAGACCAGAATTAGAAGGATGCAGATGTCAATATGAACATGTGTACAAATATATGAATTGGGACCAGCAGTAGGCCATTCAGCCCCTCAAGCCCATTCTGCCATTTAATAAGGTCAAGGCTGATCTTGTCATAACTTTGAATCTGCTTTCCTGCTTACCCCTGATAATCATTCATGTCCTAACTTAACAAGAATCTGTACACCTCTGCCTCAAAATAGTCAATGACTCGATTACACTGCCCTTTTCAGCAAATGTTCCAAAGATTCTTGCACTTTGAGAATAAAATTTGCATCATCTCTGTTTTAAATGGGTGATCAAAAAACAATGACTCCCTGGTTCTAATTTCTCCAAGAAGAAGAAACATCCTTTCCACATCTACCCTGTCAAAACCCTTCAGATCTTGGAAGTTTCAGTCAAATCGGCTCTTGTTCTTCTAAACTCTAGCAGATTGAGGCCTAGTCGGTACAATTTTTCCTCCTAAGACAATCCCCATGTCCCAGGTATGAGTCAAGCAAAACTTCTATGAACTGACTCCAATGCACTTGCATCCATCCTTAAATAAGATGACC